CGTTCAAAACACTTATTACAACAACACAAAACACATGGATAAACAACAACAGCACTGTCAAATTTATAACACAGAAACTTTTAAACAGTATAACAGAATGAATAAATCACTTATTACAATCACTTTGGAAGTAATTAGTTGTGTTCTAATTTTCGCGACCGTTGTGGCACATGTTCATATGTCAAGTGGTTCAACGTCATTTCGCCCGAGAACGCACGACAGACTGATCGCAGCGGAACGCGGCCGACACTGACGATCTCGATCCGACAGCGTTGGAGAAACGCTGAAACGTTTTCCCACTCGCGCACGTCCGCGCCCATTCTGACACACGATCGCGGCGTGCTTCGGCAGCCCTCTCACTCTTGCACTCTGGCCACGGAGAGCTGCGACACCTATACCAATTTCCAGCTAGAGAGGACACTGGATGTTTTTTGTTTTCGATGTGGATTGTTTATTGGAATCGTAGTGTCGTAGTGTAATTCAAATAAGAAACTTGTGGGTTGTATGGCATCGTGCCTTAAGACAAATTGCTGGAACTTCCCGTACCGTAACGAAATGATCTAAATATTAAATGTTTTAAAATAGATTATTATAAATATTGTAACATTGTCTAATATTTATTATAAGAATTATATAAACTGAATTGGAAAGTTGAAATTATTTGTTTAAAGTATATTAGAACAGAATTAAAATAAAAATCTGAAATATTTTCGATATAGGGATAGTTTAAGTATTACGTAAGCAGATTAATTACAATTATTCACTCGCAAAAGTAAGCAAAGCTCTTACCCCCTACCTCCATGCTTCCATAAACATTTTGCAATTAATGTAAAAAATAAATATACTACCTATGACGTAATCATCATCCAGACTCCCCTGCCCCCCATGTCAACCCAAAATAAGCAAATCAACAATTGAAACAATTTTTTTTCCAAAATCAATTATTTTGTTAAAACAAGCAGAAAGTTCTTTGAATCATTTAAATCGGACGCTTAGTTCTCTCAAAAATTGCATTTTTTTGCACATTTAGCTCCGTATCTTCGAGATAGCTGGACCTGCCTTTGCCAAAAACTAATACCCACTTCTCCCAGTCATTGTAATGGAATGTTTTTTAGATCATTCAAATCGGATGCTCCGTTCTCTCAAAAACTCGATTTCTATTTTCTGCACTCTTTGCTCTTTATCTCCGTAACTGCTGGACCTGCCTTTGCCAAAAACTAATCAGCACATCTCCTTATCAATAGGAATCGAATGTTTTTTGAACCATTGGAATCGGTTGATCCGTGCGCCCGAAAACGTGACTGGAAATTTGTATCCATACATACATACATACACACACACACGCACATCCATTTTTCTAAGGTTTGCCAAAATGTTCAGAGGGTTTTGAAACGTAAAGATATATAAAAAATTTCATTTTCGATTTTTTTGTGTTTACTATAACTTGCCCTACGGGAAGTTAATTATTGGTAATGGGATCGTGCCTTACGGGAAATGAATGGTACTTCTAGTATCGTAATTTAAAAATTTTGAAAGTTTTAAATATTTTTGAAAACCTAAAAAAAACTAGTTGTGTATGGCATCGTGCCTTAAGGCAAATTGCTGGAATATCCCGTACCGTAATGAAATAAATGTTCGGGGAATAATAAATGTTATCAAATAGATTATTATAAATACTGCAACATTGTCTAATATTTATAGAATTATATAAACTGAATTACAAAGTCAAAATTATTTATTTAAATTAGTTTTTGGCGAAGGCAGGTCTAGCCGTTCCAAAGATATGAGGCAAAAAGTGCCAAAAATGGTAACTCAGTTTTTAAGAGAACGGAGCGTCGGATTTAAATATTTCAAAAATTTTTACTTGTATTAACAACATGAAGAACTGATCAAATTTTTATGAAGGCAGGTCTAGCGGTTTCGGAGATCTAGTAAAAAAAATTAAAAAAATGCCACCTGGCGGTCAAAAATGATCATTAGACATGCACACCAAATTATCAGATATTTTATAGAGATTTTAACAATAAGTATAAATTTTGTTTACATTCCTATGGGTTCCGTACGCAATGTTACGCGCTTCAATATTTTGTCTCTATGCAGTTAAAGCAGTACGCTTTGATAAAAAGTCCAGAATTTCCAAAATATTTCAAAGTAAATTTTTCTCCAAAGAGTCTTTTATTTTTTAAAAAAAGTAAATTTTTGTCAAAAATTTATTGTTCCTCACAAATCTAATTTTTTCAGAGTAAATTTTTTTCCAAAATGTTAATCTTTTTAAAAAAAATTTTTTTTTGGTATGGGAAGTTTCAGCAATTTGCCTTAAGGCACGATTCCATGCGCCCCACTAGTTTGTATATATAATCCACATAAAAGTAACGTCAGTAACACAGATAAATATTTAAAAGCTACGATCACAAATAAAAAAATTTCTTGTTACGTTTTTATCATCTTAAAGATAATTCTTATAAGATTGATATAAGATAAGGTGATATCGAAATTTAATCTCAGATTATCAATACACCACTAATACGCACGTTACAGTTTCAAAAGCAAATGGTGTGTCCCTAAACTACCGACTGTGAGAGAAGCAAGTTACCTCACCTTCGCGCGGTGCTTCAAGCCTAAACTCCGAACCCTAAAAGTAACAGTTGTGCTTTGTGTTGTACATGATTTCACTATATTCCAATAGATGCAACCTAGATTTATTCGGCCGTTTACAGTTTAAATCAAATTTGAAATTGAATATATTAATAAGTTTAATAGTGGCGGCTAGTCCGAACAGAAACGTGTCTGGCTTGAATTTAGGAGGGGCTCGGATCGAATCTCTGTACTGTGTACAAAAAAGTTGATATATTCAGAAAATTCTACTTGTAATACTGAGTCATGAAAAATATGGAAAATGGTTAAATTCTAGTTCAAAAAACATTAATAAAAATTATGCAGAAAAATTATGCACTTGTAATTAAGTAATTATCAAACATTAACAAATATTTCGCAAATTAACTCATTAATTCATTTGGAATGACTAGTAAATTAATTTCGAAAGAAATAATTGTTAATTATATTTCATAGAAATATGAATTGTATTTTGATTAAATTTCACTTCACTTTGTTATAAAGGAGCCCATCCAAGTGTATTGGTTAAACTAGTCTTGAATTTGATTCCATTCTCGACTAACTCAATATCGAGCAGTATAACAAATTTTCACGATCTAGAATATATTCTCAAGTAAAAATCGCCCTTCGTGGGCATTGCTGCAATGCATATATGCTCATAATGTGAAGTTGTAATAATTAATTGCACTTTGTCCATGGTAATTTTTGTCAGTTCAAATACTACACTAGTAGTTCTCTAATACTGGAGTAGTTTTTTAATTGTTATTACTATTTTTATAGTTATTATATTTTTTTGATAATTTTTTTTATTAAGCATTATCTCTGGTTTCTTATTATTTTTCTGTTTATCATTACTAGAAATTAACTTCCGTAGTGTAATAGTAATCGCAAAAAATCGAAAATAAATATTTTTATATATTTTTACGTTTCAGAGCTTCCTGAACATTCTGACATACCAAAATTGATGTATGTGTTTGTGTGCATATGCATGTACGGATACAATTTTTTGTCAATGATTTTGCGAGCACGGATCGAATTTAATGATTTACAAAAACATTTGATTCCAATTGCTGGGGAGACGTGCTAATTATCTTTTGGGATAAGGCAGGTCCAGCTGTTTTGAAGATGAGGGGTAAAATGTGCAAAAAATGGCCATTTAGTTCTTGAGAGAACGGAGCGTTCGATTTGAATGATTTAAAAAAAATACATATATAGACTGAATAAAGAATTTATTAAATTTTAGGAAGGCAGGTTCAGCAATTTCGAAGATCTAATAAATTAGGTTTAAAAAATGCCATTTGGCGGTCCAAAATGATCATTAGATATATGCACATAAATTGTCAGATATTTTATGGAGTTTTTTGTTATTAATAAACAGCAATGAAAATTACATAAAATTTTATAAGCTATTCTGCTATGATTTAACAACAAAATATAAATTTATATAATAAATGAAATAATAATATAAATAATAATGATAATGATAATGATAACAGTAATAATAATAAGAATAATAATAGGAATAATAATAGTAATAGTAATAATGATAATAATAATAATAATAAAAATATAAAAATAAAAATAATAATAATAATAATAAAATAATAGTATTAGGATCACTCCATTGAGTGACCACTTAAAGAAAATAAATCTACTCAAGTAGATCTATGGGCCAGTTTCGTTTAAGTCTTCATGGAGATTTTAATAAGTACAAATTTTGTTCTCATTTCTATAGGTTCCGTACTAATATTTATAATGTTTAAAGTTCACTTATATAGTTCAAACAAAAGTCCTCTTCAGAACTCTCAAAATTTTGCAGAATTACAAAGAAATTCTAATTTTTCAATAAAAAAATTGATTTTTCGAAAGTTTCAAATTTTCAGAGAAAATAGGTTTTTTGTTCAAACTTTTCAAAAAAAAATTGAAGCAGGTAAAAATTTTAAGGCAGGTAAATGACGGTACGAAGAAGTTTCAGCAATTTGCCTTAAAGCACGATGCCATGCACAATGTGTCAGCTTAAAGAACAATTGGAAATAGTACATATATCTAAATGAAAAATAACATTAGTCGAACCCACGTATGTGATTTCACCTTTCGAACGTGTACGCGCCACCGCGTCGTACTGCGTTCGGTGTTTGTACGTCTGCGCGTTGGATATTTAGCCTCCGCGAGTTCACTTCAGAAAACAGCGCGTATTGCGCCCCCAGAACTAATACAATACAGTACACATCAACGTGTTCGAGTCCGACAGTGTCATGTCGAAGGAATTGATTTTTAACAAAGTGAGAAAACACGTGAGGTAATTGACTATGGGATAATTGACATTATGTGGAATGATTTTGGTGTCGATCTACCTGTGTTGAGTATTAATACAGTGTGTACAATCTGTCAGACGATTTTGGGTTATGTGGGATAAAAGATTGTTGAGCGACATTCGGTTGTTATCAATTGTCTTATGGTGATCAAAGGTATGTTACTTACTTGTTATACAAACCCTCACACCACAGAAAAAGTGTATAAAATCGTTACCGTCCAAGTAATTTACTATCTATATATCCATTTACACCTAACTTTATTACCTCAGTGTCTTATATTTCATTTTAATTCCAATCCATCCATTGCCTCTGATCTATCCATTACCATATTGAATGTGTGTTCTGATCTCAAAGAGATACACGCCCATTTTAGTTATATATGCGAATGCTTTGTTCGGTGTGTACACGCTCCGCTATATAGTCTGTTGAGCTTTAAGCTTTGTCTGTACTCAAAAGCTTTTGTAGACATATTGATGAACACCATGGTGTAGGAATGTATTAGAACGCTTATATAAATATTGTTCACGTAATATATACATCACATGGATGAGATTTTCTTGGTACAGATATTTATATGGAATGTGTATGTGGGGAAGGAACACGCGTGTAAATGGGTGAACACTTATATACATACTTACATGTATACATACATATGCATATTTTGGAATATTTATTCGCCGTCAAATAGCCAAAATAACTAGTGGGGCGCATGGCATCGTGCCTTAAGGCAAATTGCTGGAACCTCCCGTACCAAAAATTAATTTTTTTTTAACAGATTAACATTTTTGAAACAAATTTACTTTGAAAAAAAAAAAACAGATTTTTGAGAAACTATAAATTTGACATTTTTTTGACATATTTTGAAAAATCTGAACTTTTTTTCAAAGCAATCGTACTACTCTAACTGCACAGAGACGAAATGTCCAAGCGTATAAGCGCCGCGTCGCCGTCTAACGGATGAACATTTGTACGGAACTCATAGGAATGTAAGCAAAATTTCTACTTATTATTAAAATCTCTATAAAGTATCTGATAATTTGATGTGCATTTGTCTAATGATGATTTTCGACCGCCAGATGGCATTTTTTTTACTTTTTTCACTAGATCTCTGAAATCGCTATACCTGCCTTCATAAAAATTTGATCAATTCTTCATCTTGTTAATACAAGTAAAATGTTTTTTGAATTATTCAAATCGTACGCTCCGTCCTCTTAAAAACTGAGTTACCGTTTTTGGCTCTTTTTGCTCCATATCTTCGGAACGGCTAGACCTGCCTTCGCCAAAAACTAATCAGCACGTCTCCTTATCAATACGAATCGAATGTTTTTTGAATTATTCAAATCGGTTGATCGGTGTTCCCGAAATCTTCGATGAAAATTTGTATCCGCACACACACGCACACACACACGCGCACACACACATACACACATACACACACACATGCATCTATTTCTTTTTAAGGTATGCCAAAATATTCAGAAACCCCTGAAACGTAAAGATATATAAAAATTTTCATTTTCGATTTTTTTTTTGCGATTACTATAACTTACCCTACGGAAAGTTCAATCAATAATTAATTTCAGCATGATAAACAAATTTAAATAAATATTTTACAAGGTTTACAAGAAAAATGACAAGATTTTCAAGAATAAAAATTTCAATACATAGTTAATCAAGTGTCACAAATTTTAAAGATATTATTTTATAAAAAAGAAACAAAACAAAAAACTTATTTCTTTTTTCATGTATGAATAATTCGACAAATCAGGGATGTGAAACTTCTGTAAAAACGATTTTTTTACATTTATGCACTTTAAAATTATTTCAAATAATATTAGACATCACCTTTTTTTAATAGTCAACAGTTCCTAAAGAATGGAATATAATCTTATCCCTGGCATTTATAAATATTTATAAATGCAAAATTATATATTTTTTGACAAAAAAAGACTACTAATTTCAGATAAAAAAAATAATAGCTCATTTTATGTGTTTGAACTATGTTTAATTTGAATTAGTTTCCAAAATGATTGATTTTTAGGGTAAAAAAACACCTGAGTTGAGAATAAATTGAGAAACCACTATGTTTATTCTCAATTCATGTGATTTTCTAACCTAAAAATACATAATTTTTCATGTTGGTATGTAGTTTTTAAATTATTTGTTAACGTTTTAAAGGTTTCTGAACATTTTGGCATACCTTAAAGAAAATGAATGTGTGTGTGTAAGTTCGTCCACGAATTCGGAAGCACTAATCACATGATTTGATTAAAAAAAACATTCGATTCGTATTAATGGGGTACGTGCTGATTAGTTTTTAGCAAAGTCAGATCCAGCAGTTTTGTATCAAAAAGTGGAAAAAATGCAGTTTTTGAAGAAACGGAGGAGACACGTTTTATCTTTAAAAATTACATTTATTTTATATATAGAGTTTTTAATTATCTATATTATATAAAATTTCTGATTCCGAATCAATATGAAAATTTATATGACAGTAAATCCAGTCATTTCTTTATTGGCATTTGTTTTAATTTAGGTTGAAACTCAGTGGTTATAAATATAATTTATACGTTAATAAAATATATTATTATCCTTCAATAAAAATTTAATAAAACATTTTTATTTACGAGATTGAATGATAGATAAAATATTATATAAAGAGTATCTAGTATAAATGAAAATTTTGTTAATTTTTCAAAACTATTTGTAAAGCATATGGCAATATGTTAATTAACGGTTATTTATTTATGTTAAAATCATAAATATATCTATGAAGTACCCATATATTTATTTATTTATTCATATTTTTTTCTCTACATTTTTAGATATCCATTTCAGGACAGGTGTGAAAATTACTATATAACAAAAAAAAGTTTCAAATTATAGCAAAAATAAATAAATCACATATTTGATAAATTATTTAATTATTGATTTATTGATTACGTTTCCACATATAAAAATAAATAATAGACAATTATATATTTTACTAATTAATTTTCTATATTTTTGTTTGCCTAGATACTACACGTAATTGTACGTATAACAATTTTTATTTCAAATTTATAATTTTCTTTTTCAATTTCAGATATGGTTTTCCTCGAAGCAATGAAATTTAATATTAATACGAGTACGTTTTCATTATGCTGGTTACGTTTCATTTAAAATTCATATTTCTATTAAAGCTCAACATTTATTTATGTGCCATTATTGCAATCAAATGGAAAACAATCAATTTTACCTCATACTCCTCATAACAAATGCAAATGGCTCATAAAATGAGATTAATATATAATCATAATAAATGATATACATATGCATACATAAATGCATACATATATTAGGCGTCGATGCTAATACTATTATTAATTTAAAATTTTATAATTTTGAGAACAAAAGATGTGGCTTTTTATAGATGGCAACCCAAAGGTTGGCTTATCTCTTTTAATCACAATAACTCTAATACTGGTGACTCTTATTGGGTGCAGCAATGCCGGATAAGAGCTATTTTTATTTGGAAACATATTGTAATACATATAATATAATGTTATTACGAAAAAAGTATTGAAAATGGATTACATTTTTGTCCAAAAATCTGCAAATTTATCACATTATGTATATATGTCATTCAATCGTCGCTAATGTTTGCGGATTACCTCTGGCAATTCCAAAAAGGGTCGAAGGGTCACAATTGTGTTATCAGAAATAATTTGATATTTCAATTCGCATAACGACTACGAAATATATATATATATATATATATATATATATATATATATATCTACAGGGTGTCTCCGAGCTTAACGTCAAGCCAAATCGGGATGATAGTATTGGCCTAAACTGTTCTGAAAAAAAAATCGAAAAAACAATTCTCACGTTGTTTATGAGCTTTTAAGTGCAACTTAGAGCTTTGATAAAATTATAACCATTTTGCGATTATTGTGGTTAATTTTTATTAATTTTGTTTATTTAAACTTTGTAACCGTGAATAACATTTACAACAATAACAGTACAAAATAATAACACATTTGCCCAACATTTTCAAAAATTAAGACTTTAAGAGTCCCTCCTTCAAAATAAATGTACTAAAGTGTGTTGGCAAGTTTCATCAAAAGTTGGTGCATTGGATCATAATTGCAAATTAGTAAACCCCTTGATAATTTTATTATTGTAAATTTTCGAAAAAATAAATACCTATTACATTTAACTCAAATGCTTGAATATTGTTTGAACATTTGAACTGATTGTGAGTAAAATGCACTAATCAATTCTAGTCAATTATAGGTCTTTATTTTTTTATTCAAAATTTATCAATTTTTTCACCCTGTTTCGGCTTGACTCGAAGTTCTTGTACACCCTGTATACTTAAGAGTTTCAATAATGGTGTGCTAAATGCAAAAGTTTGAAGTAAATTCAGTAAGAAGAACATCGATAAACGTAATTGCTTGTATGTTATATTTTCACATTAAAATGATTTAATAGCACATAAAATTTCTACTTCTTTTCCCATTATCAGAGAAGTTCTTTCAAAAAGTTTTCGTAGTAGGTAGAAAACGTAAAATGCTTAAGAGTTATTAGTACTGATATACTATACATTGAAAAACTTTCAATAGTGCCCTAGTGTATTTATAATGAAGAAATTCCTAATGAATGCGATTTAAAAAAAAACTTAATAAGGAGCATATTTATCGCAAAATTTTGCAAATACACATTCACAACCCACACACATACATATATATAAAATAAATAATAATGGGTAGTACTGCCCTAGGGCAGGTCCATGATTTGGGTTAATTTCCAACGTGATTCAGGAAAAAGAATAGTGTGAGAGATTTCCATTTGCCATTTCACACCTCAGTGCCCGAGATGTGCGATTATTAATTAGAAACATATTTCTGAGCTATATTTTCAAGTGAAAATGGAAAATATGAAAAATAATTGATAGATAGCTACCATTTAAAAAAGCCACATATAGTTAAAAAAAATATTCTTAAGTTCTGATTTAAAAAAAAAAATAGGTGACATTTTGCCTTCAGACAATTTTCCCATATGTGTAAATAATCGACTTATCAATAGCAATTAGGATGTAGTAAAATTGTGACGACTGTAGTAAAATTTTCAACTGTCTATTTTAAAAACAAAGTTTCACCTCTCACAAAAAACTAATCAGAGCAATTTCTAATTGATATTTTTATTATATATGTTAATTATACTGTACAAACACACATTTAGAACATACCTGGTGCATGCCATAAAAGCGCAGCTCATTATTTCAAACTTTAATCAACTTTTGTAATTAAACCACGTTTCGTAGACCTATCAAATTAGGATGTACACTTAGACCACAAACTGTATCACTATGCAAAGTTTCAATGAAATTGTAAACAAAAATTTTAACAAATTATTGTAAAGTAACGACCTGAAGGATTTCATCAAAAGGTGATCATCAACATCAAAAGGAGATTCCCATCTGATATCTTTGGAGCAAGTTTTTAAAAAAGTTTCAGAATTTATGATAAAGATGAGGGCAAAAAATTTTTGAACTTCTCTGTTAATTGTAAACAACGGCTAGTCTGATTGTCTCGAAAAACTAATGAACGCGAGTCCTTATCGAGATTCATCGAATTGGTTTTACATTTTTGAATTCGGTGCATAATTTTTTTTATATATATTTTTTATTTTCAACGGCAATCAGAATACAGTACCATCCTATGAGCTATTTGGCTTTTATCATTTTTTTCTTTTCTTCTCCTTTCCACTTGGATGCCGCCGCTCCGACGGCAAAATTCATATAAATCTCAGAATTCGCGAGTGGAAAGGGTTAGTTTATCGATAGTTGGAGAATCACTCCAACGAGTGATTCACCAATTCTGTTCATTTCTATAAGGATGTAGTAGTGCTAAAGATTCTCAATATTATCTTTGGAAAGCTCCTTTTTCAGTCTTCTTGAAATTGGTGCATCAAGAAGCTGAGTGGCTATTTTTGAGAAGACGTTAATGAAAAGTCAATTGTTCATTCAATGAGATTCAGAGTGGCTTGAGAAATCATAAATGTAACAAATTGCATTTATTGGAAAACACATACATACAACATCCTTTGGAAAGTTAAAAAAAATCAGACGTGCATATGATTTCAATCCATCTATCCCCGATAGATGAATTACCATTCCCAAAGTTTCCCAGTCTCACAACCGATTGGTTATCAGTTTCGATCGATTAGTTTTCAGTCAAACTTCCAATATAGTAAATCAACGTACTCGTAGTAGGTAGATGTAACTCCTATGCCCAAATCGTGACATAGTGAGTTTTGCTATTGATTGCTTCCGCTCGAGTTAATCTAATGATTTCAATTTCAGCTAACGAAGAGAAATGTTCGAACCATTGGCGACTGGCAACGCTGTTCTCAAGGTATACAGATGGTTCATAATATTTATAGCGACGGCGAATTACCTCACTCTGCCAGGTTAGTAGGAAATTGTAATATTAGAGACACAGTAGTCATGGATGGAACATCTTGTTCCATAAACAAGAGGTAGAAGACAGAAAAATAACCCATCACCAATGTTAAAAAAAAATATTTTCAATTTTGTCATGACTAAAAACTTAATAGGTGGTGGAGCTAAGGGCTTGTTGTAACTTTTGATCTTAAAATTGACATGTTTCTAAGCAATTCTTTTAATAAATGTAAACTACGATTAATATAAATAAAATATCTAGTGTCTCCAATTTATATGTGACCAAATCTTAGGAACTCTATATTCACCCAATTATCTTCACTTGATTTGGAAACGTTTACTCACCTGACTTACATAAAGTTCACAGATTAAAGAAAGAAAAATAACCAACGCCCATGTTCGACAAATAATTGATTAATTTGAAATTTGTCATGTCTAAAAATTTAATACGTGTTTGAATATTTAAAATAATTTATTCGTAAATATATTCAAAAATTAAATTGAAATTGCCAAATGTGGAGTTTCTTGCATAATATTGTCATACTACTGTCCCGCAGACCGACGCAGTAAATAGAAGTGTGCAGCTGCGTCATTTGTGAGAGGTGTATATAATTCTTGTATGTTTCAACTAACCCCAGGTATCATTTTTTTACATTAATCAAGGTAACTCTTTTAACAATTTACCAATTACAAAAATTATTACACATTATCAAAGATTGATTGATAATGGAACGAAATAGGATTTATAAAATTTGAAATTAGTCAAAAACAATACCGAAATCGAAATTTTATGATAGAATAATTTTATTTACCTCTCACAATTGACGCAGCTGCACACTTCTGTTTACTGCGGCGGTCTGCGGGACAGTATATATGCAAGAAACTCTGCATTTGGCGATTTCAATTTAATTGATTTTTTAAATATATTTACGAATAAATTTGAACACGGATTAAATGTTTAGTCATGACAAATTTTGAAGTAATCAATTATTTGTCGAACATGGGTGTTGGTTATTTTTCTTTCTTTAATCTGTGAACTTTATGTAAGTCAGGTGAGTAAACGTTTCCAAAACTAAATCACCGTGATATATTTTTTAGAAACATGACGTTCATACTGACTATAAAATGATCGATGTGAAAATAGAAATGTATTATAAACATCCTACTTACCCAATTAAAAGCTATGTACAAGAAAAGCTACATGCGCGCAAAATATTTATATTGAACCAGGTGCTATTCATAATATTTTCAAAATGAATGGATGTTCAAATTTTCAAGTTAACATCAAAATCGCTAATTTCCTGAAAAATTCATTAAATAAAAAATTGTAAGGCTCTTGCAATCTTTGTGTCTTTTTCACTATATGTAACATTTTTCGTTCTGGTAATAGAAATGTAACATGATATTACCATCGAGAAACGAAAATCAGATCGTCCCCGATATTATGCATTTATTCAGCAGAGACAAGATAAGTTTTTATGTGGAAAAATTCTCATGCAAAAAAAGCAATTTCGATACATATGTTGGGACTCAGCTGTAATATGTTTCCACGATCGCCAAACTTTTATTGAAAACAAATCGAATGAAAATTTGAATCGAACGCTTTTTGGGACAGAACGTTATTAGTATAAATATCTATATTATTATATATATATATATATATACAAATATTTTAATGTTTTTTTCTCATAACAAAAAAATCGCAGACCTTGATGTAATTTTTATGGGCAATGAAACGCACTTCAATATTATATAAGATATTTTATAATATTTTGGCTATATAAAACGCCCATAAACTTTATATATGCCACTTTACGCCGGTCCCCGAACTTTGAAACATATTGTCAGTATCCCGCTTAATACGGTTTTCGCGTTTTTGATTTAGAAAATCGTCTTAACGATGTTTTACTATACTATATATATACATACACATATATATATATATATATATATATATATATATATATATATATATATATTGAAATATGTGAGTTTGGTGTTGTTGATATATATTTTGATTCTTTTTCGCGTTAACCATTGGTAGTATTTCAAGTTAGTATTATAAATATAAATATGTGACAATAATTGCAAGCAAATAATAAATATAATTATGTGAGAATAATTACAAGCACTATACTAAATATATAACTATACTAAGTCTAATGGATCTAATCTTCTAAGTCTCTTGACAGTGTTCGCAGAAAGTAGGTCCTTTGCTAGTTCATTTGGATGGTTCTCCAATCTTGACTTATACTTGTAAAATAATGAACAATAGAATTATTTTTACTGGATTCGGTAGAGGAATAGTCTCAGCATATATCCTTCTTCATTTCGTAAAAATATAATCAACGTATCTCAAGATACACTATACTTGCTTTATAATTGTAATTTACCGCGCATTACAGGATTTTCTCGTTGTTTGATTGAATTGTTCTATTGAATTGATCGCAAATTGTTTACCGAACTTAATGGACTTTGATTGCTTTAGTTGGAGCCATCGACTGTTTCAAGTGTGTATCGATGAACGGTGCGAATGTCGAGTGCGATGACCCATTTCACAACAATTACACGACGGGAATCCTGGAGAGTCCCTGCATGGGAGGACGAAAGGGCAGGGACGGACTATTTCCCGCCACGTCCTGCATAAAGATCGCTGGCGTTTATGGTGAGTCGCGTTAAAAAAACATTATCGGTGATAGTTTTTATATTACAAACATAGTGGAGCATCGAGAAACGATTGAAAAGTCAGGACAAGCAGGGTTTCTTAAAATGTGTTGGGGTGCTCAGAAAGTAATTTTGTTATTTTGAGAACTCAGTGAAAAATTTTGGTGTAAGTGGTATTTGAATTTGATACAAGTTGCATGAACTTACGGATATCTGTAAATACTCGACTTAATAAGAATTCATATTTAGTTAGGTGACCATACGTCCCGGTTTGACCGAGACAGTCCCGGGTTTTTCAAAAAAAATATTTATCCCGGATTGTCACAGTTGTTTTAAAAATTAATAGATAAATTAACAAAAATATGAAAACAAACTTGTTCGTTTATGCTATTTTTTTAAGATTATTTATGAAGAAAATTGAATAGAATTTCAAAAATTACAAGGCTCGAAAGCGAGAAAAACATATAATTCAGAAAATATAATATAATATAAAATTTATGTCCTAAATAAAAAAGTATTACATATAATCGAAGAAAAAACTTCTACAAAAATCATATATAAAATCAAATATAAAATAAAAAAAAATCATAAAAAAAATTGATTCATATAAGAAAACTGTTTTCATTGAATCCTTAAATAGCATTTGTTTTTTTTTTTTAAGATTAGCTTAACTGGAAATTGCCGTCCCGGTTTGACTTAAAAAAAATATGGTCACCTTAGATTTAGCACCTATTCAAATTGTGACGATAAAATGCTCTAAAATTTAGTCGCGACTTATTATTCCAACCGTCGATGAAATTTTATAATTAAACACTCACTGTAAGCTTATAATATCACATTTTAGGTTATTCCTTAACCAGACTATGTTTTATCAAAATCCTCAAAAACTTTCAACTATTAATTTAGAAGTAACGACGAGACCGATCTTTACCAAAAACTAATCAGCACAATTCTCAACTCTTTTTCTATTTTTTTTTTTTCATGATAGTTATGATCAATATTATCACCCTGTTTTAGCTTGACGTTAAGTATTGGGATACTCTGTATATGATTTCAGGAAATTAATTATTATGTATTATTTTAACAACAACTTTTAATATTCGTTATCAGTTCAAAACGTGGATTAAAAAATTTAGCAATGTTTTGTTAACAAGGAGAACTTCAGGTTTACTTTTCTGGAAAGCTCAAGTTTTGGCTCACATTCATACATTTTTTATTCAATTTTGGTGTCAAACGATTCAGAATGAAACGTGGAGAATATGATAAATAAATAACATAATAAATTAATAGCAATAAGTAGATTTTACCAGTGTTACTTCTACTTTGAATGTCTTACAGAATTAGAAACGAAAATTAAACCAACCGTCGCGTGTACATACATAAAATTTAACGTAAACAGACATGCAGTATATTTTTAGAACGCTTCTTACTTTTTTGTTTTTTTTATAGTGTACAAAATTATTTTAGTACAACGTGCTCAATTACTTGACAAAAGATTTGGTTTCCTAATTTTTATAGTCAAGTTTATTTATAGAGTCATTAAAATAATAGGCCCTTAGGACCTACACTGTGAATAATCCATTCTGAGGTTGGTACAAATCGCCGTTGAAGTCCAAAGAAAATAAACTGTTGAATTTTTTTTTAAATATCTAAATCCCAATTTTTTTCATCTATTATTTACTACTTTGAAAGATCATGCAACTTGCCCCAAGGCAAAATGACACATCTAAGTTAATTTTTATGCGAAACAGTTCGGCTAAAAAATACCATGCCAGAAAAAATCTGTGACTTGCTGAAGAAGGTAAAAATACTAAATTTCATAAAATAAATTTCTTATTTTTGTGTAATATTTGATAGATGATACTGGCGAAAGGATGACAGTCAGAGGTTGCGCTCTGGACAGTGGAACCTTAACAACGGACACGGAAATAATCAGGATGTCACATTGCGGAAGATTTTACTACGATGACAGGTAACATTAAAAAGTAAAACATTTTAAGTATAGTTTATAGTTATTCTATGAGATATTTCCATGTGACGACGCAGAATGCGTCAAGATTTAACATCTGCCACATTATATATGGAACATGTTCAGATTTACAAGTTTCAAAACTTTCCGAGCACTTCGACAATCTTCAAATTGTAATCGAGATACTGACTGTCAAAGTGTTGCAAGTAATTGTTACTTGTAACACTTAGACAAAACCCATACGATATTGATTTCAAAGTTTGATTTAATGCTAGGGCCAATTTCCGATAAAATAGAAATATTATGTACCACTATTTTGCGGGTCTATCTTCATGTTTAGTAGTATGAAACTGTCAAAAATCTATGTATTGCTGTGCGATCAAGCTTTCTACTTAAAACCTAACTTCACGTATGTGTTATCAATGAGACATCAGAAAGATGCAATTATGATAAAGTTGTTATGTTATTTGTGCATTTTGTAGGTTAGGTTTAATGTGTAAAGCGTATGAAAGCACAGCAAATGCATAGCTTTTTAACAGTTCGTTACTACCAATTGATACGAATAAAGACCCGTAACATAGCGTTACTATAACATTTCTATTTTATCGAGGAATTGACCCCTATAATTTAAGCATAGAGAATATTATATGTCTATAATGCCGTCATCTATTAATAAATAGAAGTAAATAAAAAATCTTACCTCGTAATTGTCAACCATCACTATAACAAAGCACAGGAACATGCTGTAAATAAAAATATTAAATATTAAATAAAGTGTATTAATTCACCATTGCATATATCTTATGAGATTAATTTTACATTAAATACACTGAATAAAATAATCCAACTTACAAATATGAATTTAGTAAAATCCATTCTTTAAAAAAATGTACTAAATTTTGTGGGCAAGTTTCGTCAAAGGTTTGAGCATTTAATCAGGAATTGTTTACTCTTTCTTTTATTATGAAACCATCAAGTATTT